TTTCCTCCATGAAACACACAAAGAAGTAAGAAAATGAATACAAAGTTTCAAACTTTGAAGATGAAAAAAAAAAAAAAGTTTCAAACTTTGAAAGAATAGAAAAAAGGTTTAATTTTAAGCTCAAGAAGCACAAACAAAACCCACATAGGTCAAGCAATTTCAACAATCAAAGCTAAAAAAACCATTGATTCTTATATTAAGTGATTTTGTTTTACCAGGTAAGAAGAGTAACGTGGGAGCATCTTCAACAGGTCGACCACAATCAACGGGACTAAACCACCGTGGAGGACCACCGTCAGGTTTCAAGATCTCTCTAGCCGCCGCAAAGTAATCTTTAACAGATTTGGAGCCATACCCATCATCCCATAACAACTCAATTTCATCACTCACTATCTTTTTCTGGGATTTTACTTTCCCATTCACTTCATTTGCCCCTTTTTGGTTTTGGACAATAGACACAGAGACCGAACCGTTGTTGTTCACTGGTTCCAAAGATGTCGTCTTCTTGTTTTCACCAGAGATTTGAGCTCTTACCTTGAAATTGCGTCTTTGGTTAGAACTCCATCTCAAATTTGGTAACACCAATAAGCTTGAAGAACATGTTGCCATTGCCTTTTGATTCAGGCAGTCCCAGGCAACGGGAGGAGAGAAGAATTCTTAGAAACGATTACCAAAATAAAAATAAATTTTAAAAAAATATAAGAAAAGATTGAAACTTTAAAAATATCTTTCAAAAAGTTTTTGAACAGACAAAGCAATTAAAAAAAAAAAGATTATCAATATTTCTTTTTCTTTCGGTTTCGTTTTAGAATTGTATTTCATAGAAAGTGCTAAAAATAAGTAAATAAATCTTGAGTAGAAAAGAATTATTGCAGATGTTTTCAATTTTCATCGGATCTCACTTTCAAACCTCCATATTAAGGAAGTGGGGTTACAAGAGGTAGCCAATCAGACACCTATACTACTTGATATTCACATAATGGTGCACAAAAAAAAAAGTATGCTTGTGTGTTTTTAGCAAGAAAATTGCTACTGCAATATAAAATGGAAAAAAAAAAAATTGTAGTAGGGAAGTTTTAAAATTATAATTTATGGAATAGAGAATATATTTAGCCATTTGCTAAATGGGTACGTTTTACATGTAAAAGTCCATATGTATCCATAATTATGATTTACATTAGAACTTCAAATTAAGAAAATAAAAAATTATTTACTTAACAAATAAAATAATTAATAAGAGTTGTTTGATATTCAATATCTATCTACGCTAAAATAAATTAAGTAATTAGATACTAAATTGATTAAAAATAAGAGAAAACAATTTTAAATATAGTTTCCGAAAACAATATTTGGTGTAAGACTCATAGTTTCCGAAAACAATATTTAGGTGTATGATGAATGATTCTCGTGAAAAATATCTCATATACGATGGATGGAGGATGATTTTCGTGGACGATTGATGGTTCTCGTGAATGATATTTGGTTTACGTGGATGGTGGATATCATTTTAAAATTACCTAATTTCTATATACTTTAAAAACTAACTACTTTACGAAAATTCCAATGAAAAAATAGATTTGAGCATTCATTGCCACTATTCAAACTCATTGCTGGATTGGTCGAGCATCAATGGGATCGGTCGATCTTCTCCTTTGCTCATTTTGGTTGATGGGAGAAACATGTGTTTAGTGAATTTTTCATATGTGTGATTTTGAATTTTCTGATTTTCTTCAATTAACTTTTCAATGAAAGCTAACATCACAAACACATATATATCATGCATTAGAATTTAATCGATCAATTAACAATGTATTGCGATCTCGATGATTATAATTTTGACATATGTCGAATTATAGTGACATGTGTTTTGCTTTATATAGTGAGATTTTATAATTTTCATTATTAATTCTAATATATTGAAATTATTAAGTAAAACTAAACTACTTCTCGATCTGTAAAGTATTTTTCATATTTTAAAAATCAGTGTAATATATTTTTTTTAACCCCTCTGAATAACTAGTCATGACCACGGTTACGGTTATTGCGGTTACGGTTTATTAACCTCTGGTTACGGTTATAAAATTTCTCTAACCGTAACCTTAACCGTTATATATACGGTTAAAACGGTTACGGTTAAATACGGTTACGGTTACAACGGTTACGGTTAAATACGGTTACGGTTATTTAATTATTACGATACGGTTAATATCAAAGACAAAAACTTAAGTATTTTTAAGTTTTAGAATAAAAAATTTAATGATGATATATCAAATAATATATAATATATTTTACAATATATAATATATTTTAAAATATATAATATATGTAATTATGTACTTTTATATTTATAATTAATTAGCTATTTTGTTCTGTTAAGTAAACCAACGAATAACTAAATCAATGGTAATAATTATAATGATTGAGTTATTATTTTATTGACAATACGTATTCCAAACAATACTATAGAAAGGATGTTACGAGAATTAAGAAACGATTACAGGAGAAAATAATAACTTGTAAATTATTTATGATTTGATTGTGAAAAATGAGTAGTGGACGAGTGGAGTGGTTTAAATTTAATAGTGGGGCGCATTGAACCTTTTAAGGCACTGTTTTAGTGAAATAATTATGTATTTTAGGTTTTAACTGCACGGTTAACTAACGGTTAACCGTACGGTTAACTAACGGTTTTGATACGTTTACGGTTAATTAACGGTTACGGTTAGTATATTTTTTAACCGTAACTAATTTATTTTTATGGTTAACGGTTACGGTTATTAACCGTTTTATACGGTTACGGTTCGGTTACGGTTGAAAAACGGTCCGGTTACGGTCCGAAATACGGTTACAGTTAGCTTTTGGCCATGCCTATGAATAACTATATATTCTCCATTACACAAAATTTGTTACTTTAATCTAATTCCACTCAATACTTTTTCATTTCTACTTTATTCCATTATATCATTTCATTTATTTCTATAACTAGACTCCATTCCATACTTGACCTTAACGGATTGAGATTCACATTCAATGAAGAATTTTTTAATTTTTTAATTTTTTGAGGTAAACAAGAACAAGTTTTATGAAGAAATATATTTCATACTAAGTTCAGAGATGTCTAATTTCAGATAAATAATTGAACTATTTTTCTTTTGGCATTTATTTTTTCTTGGAGTCGTTATCAAGATTACACAGTTAATTAGCTAGTCGCTAGTACAAGAAACAAAACCCAACACTCTTTCATTTCACTCTATTGTAATCTATTATTCCGTCTCTCTTTATGATTAATATATTTTTGTTTTTTCTCATAAGATTAATTCTTTGTAGAATAACTATAATATAATGATGGATAAAAAAAGAAAAAAAAAACTATAATGATGGAAAAAACAAAAGTTAGGTGTGGTGTAATATGTTTTAAGTGGGTTAGGTCACACGAAAGACGTGTTCAAATGGGTTCCGCAAGGTTTTTAACGGTAAAGAAGGGAGAAACAAAGCAAGAAGCATAGATTCTTGGATGTATTCATATTCCTTTGCTTTAAGTCCTTCCGTCTCAATTTCAACACCTATATATGGTCACATTTGATCTCGTACCACTTGTCTTTACATTTTTTTTTTTGGTGAGAACCACTTGTCTTTACATGCTTCTTCTTTTTCTATTTTTGGGTATTAGACAAATAAAACCTGCATGGAAATGAATGTGATATCATATATCTATCGTTGTCCAATACAATTTGCGACATAAACAATATTTTTGATTTATTAAAAAAGATAAATAAACGCAACTATATATATATATATTATTACCAAAGAACATATATAAAGAAATATTAATTTGGGCATATTTTAGGTTTTTGATGACTTGCTGTTTGCTGAGATTCGACCATGCAAGCAAGTGGGATCCTAATTCTTACGGGAAATGGAAGACGCTTTACGATCAGATCGTCGAGGATTAGCACGCAGGAAGATATTTGCAAGAATCTACTTTGGGTTGGGTCGGCCATGGTAGTGAATTTTTGTGATTACACCGAAGATCTTTATATGGAGGAATAGTGAATCTTGCCAAGTCATAGGAGATATTTTTCGTTTATCTTATTTCTCATATTAGCATTGTGCATATTTACCATAATTAGTTAAATATATATTTTCATTTATGTTGTTAATATTCTCCAAATAAAAAACAAGAAATATACTCCTCTGTTTCTGGAAGATTGATTTTCTAGAGATTTCACATTTCTTAAGAAAAAATCATTGTTTAATTATTTACTTTTATTAAATATTTTTTAATAAACTATGAATCAATAGTAATCTGGAACAGTTAATCATTACGTCTTGAAATCTACAATTTATTAAAATCAATTAATTAAAAATAAAAAAATCTAGAAAATCAATCTTTGTGGAACAAACTCAAAACACTAGAACATCAAACTTCAAGGAATAGAAGGAGTATCTATTTAGTGAGTACCGTCTCAATATATAGTGAGACCTATGGAAAAACCAAACAAAAATTAAAACCTCTTAGTAATTTTGTTTTAAAAATATTTAGGGTCTTTTTTCTTTAAGAAATTTTTTGAAACTAATATTGGACATTTGACATTTGCCTACCTTGCCTAGGGGTAGAGAGGGCCTCCAATAAAGCAATAAGTATAAGATACCTAATTAGCCTCCAAAGTTTGAGATCAAAAACTGATTAAATCAATAACTTCTACTCATGATTGCTTTATTGGATTAGAAAAAACAGATATACTTTTGTAGTTTACGCAGTCCAAATTCTTATTAGGATTGTTAATTCTTTTAGTTTCATTGTTTCAAATATCATGCAAATTTAGATGACAAAAAGAATCAGTAAATGGTACTTCAAATTGTGAAAGTACGATTTGATAATCTTCTATTTTCTTTGTTGTACGTATGACATTAAAAGTAGAGGAATCTGATTCTTGAGTGTAGAATCTTGCCTTCTACCATGCTTCAAGTGTAAGCAATATAAAAAAGGGAGAGGTGTGAATATTTCTGTCCAACTTTGAAACTCACTAGACCTTTTTAATTCTATTTCTCGCAAAATGGTGGATCATCATGGTGGGTACAACCGCGATGAGAAGAACCAATATGGTTTTCCTCATCATAATCTTAGAGCTGACCGTGTAGTTGCTCGGGTAGAGAAGTCGGTCAATTTGGTTATCGGTCATAGACAAACACAAAGGCTGGCCGGTTCAACGGAGCATGAACGTAATCAAATGGATTATAAAGGTACCTCAAGCAATGAAGGTAAAACGAAGGGTAAGTACACGACTAAGAAGATCCCAAAATGGAAGCATAATGATTCAGGGAACAAGATAGGTCAAAAGGAGAACAATGAACCACCAACTATGATCGTCGCTGGTGGATGGGTCAGGCCAAATCGAGCCATGTGGGCTTCACCTCCAAACAAGCCACACAACAATAATTAATTATTATCTGAGAGAAGCTGGTGGGAACATATCTGTGAACTCAAATTACAGGTTCAAGTTGGCGAGTAGACAAACGTTGAGCAAGAACAAGGCCGGTGGTCTTTTGAAACATCCATTGAAACTCAGCCATGGAGGGTGTGGTGGCATATATTTATGTGTCTAGATGGGTGAAGTTAATAAGTTTATTATGCGTAATACTGTACCATGGAAGTTGATATGTTATATACTGTATATTACGAGCGTATGTAATATATAGAATTCAATAAAACCTATCTATATTTGCATTTTTCTAATTTCACTTTTACTTCATATAACCATACTTTGGAATGATTTACTCGGCAATCCATAATTAAAATAGTATCCAAAAAGTATCGGAAACGTGATCCAAAAATTTAGGTATCTGGGATAGAGAAAATGACGTTTTTCAATCCGAATAAATTGCTAAGTGTGTTTTTACACCTCAGCAAATATACAATATTTTTTTCAACCTCAACGCTAAAATAATTTAAATAGACTACCTAGACTTTTAAGTGTGTTTTTATACTTAGCAAATATACAATGGTTTTTCAACCTCAACACTAAAATAATTCAAATAGACTACCTAGACTTTTTAAATTTGAACGTAAAACTAAATTGATTTAAACAAAATTAGTCAACCATTTGTTTTCACTCCCTTAAACGACATGATGGCAATGAGGGATAACGTTGTTTTTGTCATTTGAGTCCATACACTCAACATGGTGACAAAACAAAGTGTCGTTTTATCTTTACCAATTTTATTTTGTCTTAATCAAACATCATCGTTTTGTTGAGTTTATGGACTGAAATGACCAAAATGACGTTGTTCGGTTCAGTTTATAGATTTAAATGACTAAAAAGACGTTAGTTGATTAGTATAAAATGATACATCGTCGTCATCGTGTCGTCTTAATGAGCGAAAACAAACGGTTGTCTAATTTTATTTAAGTCAATGTAGTTTTACGCTCAAATTTAATAGTCTGTGTAGTTTATTAGAATTATTTTAGAGTTGAGGTTGAAAACAACATGTTATATTTTTTGAGGTATAAAAACGCACTTTACAATTTATTCGCGTTGAAAACGCCCTTTTCCCATCTAGGATATGGATCAGAATTCGGATCATTAACTTACTGATCGAGATAATAGGAGTTTTGGGGACATCGTTTGATCCGATTATATTGTAACCTAGACTTACTGTAATACCTATACATTATATAATTTTTTTTTTTTTTTTTTTTTTTAACTGAGCCCTCTATTGAGCTTCCGTAAACCAAATTATCTACAAGATTTGGGCCATATTAAATTTATAACTTCTGTTTAGGACTTATTTCTTTGTTGTTTCAAAATGAACGCCGGCAACGACTTACTCTTCTGAGATTATTGAAAGTTTCTGTGAATTGTATTAACTCATAATCTTTCAAGAAAAATTCCGATAATTTAACATTGTAACAACAATGTTAACATATCATTTATAACTACCGTTTTTGGTTTGTATAATTACAAACAAAAATAATTGTAGCTATATGCCTATATTCATAGATCTGTCACAAAAAATATTGGAAGGATTTATCTACACTAATAAAAATGACAATTTGAGGCTTTTTAGAGTAGACACCTCAGCAAAATGAAGTTCTCCTACAATTAATCTGCCACATCAGCAAATTAGTAATGCGTTTTGTTAAAAAAGAACTTCTCTACGATTGTAACCACTACTATATAGATTTGGGCTGAATTATTAAGAAGCCCAATTACATAAAACTGTCTTTTTATTATTTCGTTTGAAAAAATCAAAACTCAAAAACGATAAAGTGACCTACTTCGTAAAATGAACAATTTTCTTCCTTCATCAAACGACAACCTTGTTCATGAGTGATGATGACGTGATTCGATTTGTATTCCAAAACTCTAAAAAAATCACCCACCCTTGCCACTTCGTCATCTTTAATCCCTATAGTGACCACTATCGATCATACTGATAACCTCTCTCGAGTCTTGAGAATGTCTATAAGAACTCCATTGCCCATCCTACAGAGTGTACGCACTAATAAAAACCCCATAGACGTTATATTCTAACGAGATCTGTCCATATATATATATATATATATATATATATATTCTAGAAATGCAAATTTCAACGAATTGAGGCTGCTATTGATGCTAGTTTAAAAGTTCTATTACTCTCCCTCGCTCTAACAAGCTTATTGAATGACCAAAACATCATGTCTATTATGAAACTGATTTAGTGAACTTTTCAAACCATTTCGTTCATGTCTATTCTTTCAAGCCTCTTGATTTGCATTAAAGAGTCACATATGCTTCAAGACAGATCAAGCGGCTTGAATCTCACCAATTCCTCTCCTCTTATATAAGTAACGTATGCAATTTAGCTCATCCCAATTGTAATATAAAGTTCATGATGATTAAAATCTATATATATATATATATATATATATAATAGGAGAGTCTTCTCCCATCTACCTTATCCACCTAAGCAAAACTATTTATTTTACATTAAAATAAATTTAAAACATTCATTAAATGCATATTTATGTTACTAATAATTAATAGAAATTTTCGATTTTAAAGAAATAAAAACGAATCATGTAAAATAAATGAGATGTTAAATAGAAAAATAATACTATAAAAGTTTTATTATTAATAATAGTATAATTCAACTTTTAGCTGATAAAAATTAAAAATGATCATACTTCAAATTTTTAAATGTGTTAATGAGTTTTAGAATGGAACTAAAATTTTAAATGCATGGTGGAATACATTTAAATTTATGTAATTCTATATGTAAAATTTTAAACAAGAGAATAAAATTTAAAGTGAAACATTAGTTTCTAAGAACATTATAGTACATATTTTTATGGATTATTAAATTTTTACTTAAAGAAAAATAAAACGTTACTAAACTCAACTTAAATTTATAATTTAAGATAATGATATTGTAAGAGTCACACTTTATCTTGTGAAATTATAAAAAAATTTTGAAAATTTTAAAACCTTATATCATCCATCTTTAGAAAAATAAATAATCAATGATCACATTATTCATGAGTTTTACCACAAAATATATATAAAAATTGATAAGCCGTTAAAAAAAAAAGAGATATGTAATTTGCGTAGCATATTCTTAAGTGTAAGTACAACTTTATAACATGATCAAAAAGAAAAATAAGTTTGATATTTCATCAATAGAATCAAATGCTTTTAATCCACAAAAATTGAGTATTGAAAGATAGTAATTAAGGAGAAAATAGTTATGATATGTCTTGAAAATCAATTCACAGTCTAATATATATTATATGTGAGTCAATCAAAAGTGAAAAAAAGGTAGATGTGGAGAGACAACGAGTGCATCATAAAAGATGACAAAAAAATTGGTAGTTAAAAGTGTTTGAAAACAAATATCTAAAACTTAGAAAGATGATGCACATGACTAAGATAAAATCTTTGAGATCTCATTCATTGAGTGAAACGAATGAGTTTTAAAAAATACATGACATACATTATTAAACAAATTATTAGATTCAAAGTTGGGTTTAACCGTTTGGCCATTTAATCATGGAAAGTAAGGTAAGATAGGCACATTGATGACTTAGTCGAGAATTCTCTTATGGTACGTTGCATTAACTTCGATGGGTAAAACAAGCTCGATAAACCTGATCTAATAATATAGTATTATAGATCTACCGTTACACTAAATAATGTTCATGAACTCGGTGTATTCGCATTTTATATGGAATGATGTTATGTTCGTATCAACATTTCATCAAATATAATATCTATAATTAGGTCAACAATCGATAATTAATGTCAAAACTTTAAAGAATGTCTTCAGGGAATATGAATAAGAAAGAAACTCTTTTAGAGATAAAGGATCATTAGATGGTCGTCGATACGGTTTATTCTTCTCGCGAATTTTTTAAGTGATCTTTGTAACCACGTGATATATATCAAACTATTTATTTGTCAAGAAAACATTATCGTCGACAATATATCAAACGTGATATATATATGTTGTATATCACTTCGTAAAATACGTTTAGTGTTTATATAGATTTATCTTTTAAAATTTAAATTATTATATTTATGCTTAAATATTATATTTTAAATTTTAATGGTTATATTTTATGCTCAAAAATTTATATTAAAAGAATATATTTTAAATTAAAATCTCATGCAACGTGCGGGTACAAATCTGGTACAAATCTGGTTAAGGTAGTTAATCAAAATGCTACATTACAGTTTCTTAACTTTGCACGCCCTTTAAGTAGTGTATGGTACTCTAGGGTGGTAGGCAGGCTCAAGTAGTATTAATGTCATAATTAAAGATATATAACAGACGAGAAGGAACAAGAACATGGTAGAGAAAAGAAAACGCTAGTAAAAAACAAACCTTGTTGAATACCCAAAAAGATGAGTAAAACCCAAATTGATTATGCAACATCAAGTCTAATAATGAAGAGCTCAACTGAATAAATATGCGTATTGAGTATGTGTAAAGAAACATATGGCGAAGGAAGGACCCTAATCATTTTACAAAATAAAAAAGAAATAAAATCCTAAACCAAATATTTAAAATTAATCAAACGGGTAAAAACAAGAGGAAGAACCGATTCAACAATATACATTGCAAATTATTTTAGGGTTTTTACAAACAGATAAAAAAAACATAAACAAAATATTAAAATGGATCTTGAAGAAAGGAATAAAGGACTGGGTGCTCAAACTCTTCCTCCTTCTTCAGAGTGGCTGTGATTTTTTCCCTTTTTGTTACTACACCTTCCCAAGCATTCTTCATTACCAATTTACCGACAATCACAAAACTTTTGTTACTGCACCTTCCCAAGCATTCTTCATTACCAATCTACCAACAATCACAAAACTTTGAGCAGCGACAACCTCTATGGCTATTTTGGTAAACTTTTGTGAGATTTGATTCTCCATCTTCAACTTCATCAGAGATTCTCCCATTAAACGTAGATGATCCATACTGTACGCCCATTTGGAAGAACATAGGGAAAAAAATCATCAGGAACTTTGATTAATTTTTTAGAGTAAATTAATAACTAAACAACTTACCTCTGGGACAAAATCCACCACCAGCCATGCCACCAGCCATTAAACTTCTTCAGACCACAAAATCCAAAAAAATATTAAAGAGTATTTTCTCGTTGCAGAAGATAGAGTGAAAGAAGAAGACGAGGTAAGAAGCTTCTGAATGTAAAAGTGTATTTTGGGTATTTTGTAGTTAGCTTCTTTTATT